AACCAAGAAGTGCAAGAATGTGAATGTAATAAAACTTTACTTGACTTTTGTGAAATTTACCTTTCTTACATCTACGATCTTAAAGATACGGTTATAAAGATTACATTTTCTGCAAGCCCTTCGATCGATAAACATAAAAGAATAAAAAAACATAAAAGAAAAACTGCCGAAAACATGCAACATTTTACGCTAATCCTCATTAAATTGGTCACGTCATGCCAAATATCTCATTCAATTCATAAAAAATAAATTTACACCAGACACACACACATACACGCGCTCACACACACACATACACAAAACGCTCTCTGTATAAAAAGACATAAATAAAAATCAATCAATTTTTTTTTCACTTGGATATTAACAATCTCCTATGGAATGTTATATATATATTTTTTTCATAAATAATTTTCAAATATTTACTAAAAAAATAATATCGAACAATGGACAAAATTAATCAACATAAAAAAAAACAAGCGCCCCTTTACTTATCCAAAACTCGACTTTATATCCCTTCTATTATGCTCTACTCCCATACAGTTACCGATTCGGCAACGCATCGTACTATAACTAATTACGATCCCAGACGTCGACTTCGCACCCCGACTTCGACTTTGTCTGGCGCCACGAAACAAACTGCTACCAATTGTAATACTCATAACAATGGATTTGTTGTGGCCGATAGTAGTAGTAACAATAATAATGATTATAATAATGATAATGATAATAACAACCATTGATTACCTCAAAATTCTCAAAAACCAAACCCAATAATCATTCAAAAAGAAAATTAAAATCGAAAAAAATAAATCATAATCAGCACGAAAATCCCGAAAAAATGCCAAAACGTAAAACGTATATGTTGTTGTTGAAAAGCAGAGTACAAACAAAACAAAAAAACCTAAAACATATAAAAAGACAAAACATAATTTTTTTACTTTCAATAATTTAATCTAACCGAATTTAAAACAAATTTATCTAGTATGTTTATTAAATATACACATTTATAAAATTAAAACATGAGCATGAGGTAAGTTCTGTTGCGCCTAATTGGTTTATTTCTCTATTTATTTATTTTTTTTTTTAACTTTTATTTACATTTAATTTTTCATTTTATTTATGATTTTCCTCATATATTCTGCAACGCTCTAATTTTTAATCTTCACACACATGCACACACGCCGCAAGCCATAGCGAAACACACACTCATGCACACACACACACACACACACACACCATTTAGCATATATATTTGAGTCAACTGTACGAAATGTTCAGGGTTTAGCCACACATCGCGTTATCGTTATCGTTATCGTTATCGTCATCGCCACTGTTATCGAACCCACACCAGCCTAGCACTCTCACACACACACACACGCACACACACACCAGCAACACCCGCAGCAGCAGCTCCTGTTGTAGCGGCCGCTGCTTTCACTTAACCGATTTTATGGCTTGTATTTATGTCTAATCTATTGCTTATGTCTTTCCATGGCAGACGATGTTATTGCGGCCGACGATGAGTCCCACTGGCAGCATCGGGTCAGCTCCGGCTTTGATCGCCTGGTGGCCTTTGCCAGCACTGAGCTGGACAAGACGAGGCGCTCCATTGATGGCGACACGGTGCCCGCCTCGATAAGCTGCAACACCTCGCCGGACTCGGGCATCACGCACAGCAGCAGCAACTCGGATGCGGTGCGTACATTTTTGTCCACCTCGTCCAGTTCATCGCAGCTGGAGCTGCCCATTAACAACAGCAGCAGCAGTAGCAGTAGCAATAACAGCAGCAGCCTCTATGCCAGCCAGGTGCACAATCTAAGCCATCATCCGTATCAGCATGGCCATCAGCAGTTGCAGCAGCAGCAACAGCAGCTGCCACTGCAACAACAGCAGCAGCAGCAGCAGGCGCAGCAACAACATCCTCAGCAGCAGCACCAGCAGCAGCAGCACTTGACAGATCATTTGAGCGACAGCAGCGTGAAGTCTACAGCCTCCTCATCGCTGCACGCGAGCAGCTCGCTGAAGACCGTTTCACCGGTGGATTCGGGCGCCATTGAGTCGCCGCCGCTGTCCGATGTGGGTCTGCCGCGCACGCCCAGTCCCAGTGCCGCCAGCGTGGCGACACCCCCGCCGGCCCATGCGCCGTCGCTTGTCAACGATCTGCTCATACCGCTCAAATATCAGCGCAAGTCGAAGAGCGGCTCCGAGAAGCACTACAAGAAGAAGTTCTGTGAGCGCAACTGGGAGTACGACTGCGACGAGCTGTTGGCCTACTCCAACTCCAGCGCACCGCCGACAGCAGCCGATGCAGCGGGCAATGGACTGCCAGCATTGGATGTGGCCGGCGGCGTGTCAGCCACGCCGCCAGCTGGGCTGAGCAAATCGGGCAAATCGCCCAAGGAGAAATCGTCGCCGCATCATGGCGCCAATACCAATGCGAATGCGAACGCCAGCTTTCACCATCATCACAAGTCGTCCAAGTTTCGGCCCAAGGGCAAGGACTGGGACTGGTCGCTGGATAGCAGAAGCAACACGGGCGAGCCGACGGCAAATGGAGCCGGCGGTGGCGCGAATACAACGAGTAATTAATTTAAATTATTTTAGTTAAATTGCCGAACAGAATGACTATCGTACGAAGAGAATGGGAAATGGAGAATGAAAATGGAAATGAAAAACCTAATCCGCAGCCACATGCGCAACAAATGGAAAAAATTGCAATGTTTTTTTTTGCTTGTTCAATTTTTTTTTCAAAAATCATTTGTAAATCGATTCGAATGGAGTTGATTGAAAATTTTTACTCTGTAACTAAATGAATTGTGTTTATTTGTAGTTAACTTATTGTATAGCAGCGATCTTTGCCTTGTTTTCTATTATGTCTCTGTATGTTTATTTCCGTGAATTGTAATTAGGTTAGTGTAGCATATTTTAACTGAACATGAGTGTTAGATCTTAAGGCACCATACGACAAGAAACGCAATCGCAACAACAGCAACAACAAAGCCCCAATTACTGATGAACAATGTTACTGATTTCTTTATTACCAAGTTTACTATTATTATCATTACTTTGATTATGATTATTAATCCTTAAATGTATTTTATTTTGTATTGTTTAATTGATTTGTGTTCGTTTTAAGTTGTGTGTTTTGTCCTTTTCTGTGGAATTGTGTTTTTTATGATTTTTAAATAAATTTTAAACTAATTACAAACTACTCCTGTGTATATTGGCTACCTTTAGTCATCAACTTGATTTGCAAATATATATGTGTATGTATCTAGATTGATCAGTTGCCAGCTTAGTTACAATTTCTCGTGCTGGGACCAACAAGCTTCAGTAATCGATCCGTGCCTGTTCACAAGATAAATGTCAAAATTGTCAACGTCGCTTCCAAAATCGAATTACAATCTAAATATATGCAAAATTAATAAGCAAATATTCAAAATGCAATAAAACGCTTGTCAATAAACAAATATTATGGCATTCAAAAATATTGATAAATGCACGTTGATACTTTTTTTTTGTTTTTTTCATTCTTCTTACTATACGAGTATATGGTATATATATAAATAAAACCTTTTGGTGTACTTTAATGTAAAAACAAGGCGTGTCTGCAGCCGCCTTGATCAAAATTACCGAGATATGACACATTAACGATAATCGAAAACAATATAGAAACTGATTTAGCGCAACATTGCATCAACAAGAAGCAGAATAAAGCAGGCAGCAGAACAACAAGTAACCTTATTAATTAAAGAATTTTCCACCTCAGCGAAATAACAACAATTTTATATATATTATATACATAAATAATAATATAGCAGTAGCGGCATATACAATATATATATATATTATATATACATAGATCTATATACATATAGCATATGGGTGTGTGGCCATTCCGTGGAGAGGTTCATTGGCAAATCTCAGAGTGAGGGCGATTTTGCGATGAAAGTGAAAGTTGTTACGGAATCGGTTCGATAATAAAAGCAAAAACAACAGCAGTCAAATATCAGGAAACAAATTAAATAGTAAACAAACGGAAAAAAAACATGATTTACAAGCATTTAACAACAAATAATAAATATTTAGTAACATACATATATAAAATATATACGTAAACCATATTTAACAAATAGTCTTTTATATGTTCATGAGCAACAACAAATGCATAACATTAACTTAAACAAATAAATAAATAATAAAACAATAAGGCCCCTAGCAATTTAAATGGATTTTCAAATGTGCTATTAGCGTAGTGTAATATTAAAACATTTAAAAACAAATTAAGACAATGGCGCATAAATGGATTTTATACGTATATACATATATACATATATATGAATTATAATTATATTTACCATCATATACAGAGTCGAAGGGCGAAGATAACAAAAACTTATTGTAATAATAATTTTTATTAACAATGAACGGTTGCCCCGACAACATGAATCAGTTGTAGCAAATGGAATATTATCTGGCGCTATTTAAATGTAATGTAAAATGCATATAAAACAAAATAGTTGAATTTAAATAAAACAAATTAACATACAAGTATTAAACTAAAGAGTAAGTAAACAAAACTAATTAATAACGACAACAAATAAATGAACATAATATAAATAAACCACAAGCACATGCATATTATAATTAACGGTATTATTATGTATATTTAAAAATATATTTATTGCATATTAATATTATTATTTTAAACTTAAAAGTTTAATAAAAAATAACATTATAAAACATTAATTCTTGGTCTTTTGATGCACATATCTCAATCAATCAATTAGCAAATTAAAATAAAATTAAAAAGCAATTTTGAGATCTTAGGCTTCGCGGGTAGCTATGCATATAGATTTGAATGATGAGCGCTGATTGTACACCAATTAATAAAAATGACAATTGATTGATTAGCTGATTGATTTGTCAATTTGTCGCAATATTTTGATTGATATTTTGGCACCCTTAGCCCCTAATTCTTTTAAGCAAAGGCGCATGTTTTTGTTCCATAGGTTTTTATTGACATTAATTGTTTTTTTGTTTTGCATTAAAATATCTTATAAAAAGTACAGTTTGGTTCGTTTATCTTTATGTAACTATTGTATTTATGTATATTGGGTTTTTCGCTTGTTTATTAAAGGGTTCCCGGTGAAAAAATTTATTGTATACGTACTTATATTCCACAGGAGCTATTTCTGTTTAATTAAAGCGGTAGCAGTTCCAAATGATGATGTGCATATCGACTTTACTTAAATACACATCGATATATGAGCGGAATATTGGTTTAGTTTAGATTTGAGTTGATAATGCTTGGGGCTGTGCTTGGGGGAACTTGTATATATCTCTATGGTTGAATGGATCAATTGCTGACTATCTTTTTACTTTGTTGAATCTGAGGTCTCTAGCAAATTCAATTGTTTCCCTAATTCTAACTTTGCGTTTTGTAAATGAGTGTATATTTTTATATAAGTATATATATATATATATATATATGTATACTCAGCTAACTTTCCTCTTTTAATAATGCATTTGTATGGTTTTCTGTGCATATTATATGGTATATGCAAGTATATAATTGTTTTACAATAAAGCCTGAGGCACATTTATTAATTATTTTTTACATTTTTACTTTTTATTTTTGATTTTCACAATTTATACGTGGATAACGCAAGGATGCTCTGGATGTGTGTATTTATAAATTTTACTTTGTTTTACAAACAAATTTACGTAAATTTGTAGCAGAGAAATGAATTGGTTTTTCATTTAAATGAAATATTAAAGCTAAATTTTGTTTAAAGTTGTAGAAACCTAAACAGTAGTTGGATAAACAGGATAGGGTATTGGGAATTAAGTATACCAATAACACTAGGATTATGGATAATAGAACGTGAATTACAGCGGTACATGGAAAATTAAACCTAGAGAACTTGACACAATAGGAGAGTTTCTGCTCCTATTATGGGTTATCATTTAAAACAAAACACTTTCAATAACAAACAAACACTTAATGCTAATTAAAGACCATTTAATATGGTTTAGTGATAGAAAATATAACAATTTGTTTGAATAGAAGATAGAAATTACAAAGAACTTAATCAATAAGTTGTTTATAAAATCGAAAAAAGGTCGACCAATTTTATACATATGCTTAAGCTATCAACGACACCTGATAGCTTGATAAAGTTACAAATGTTGATTTGATAACAAATTCTACATAAATACGTTACGTTACGTAACATTACACACACAGTTAAACACTTGAACTTGATAATTGTTTCAATTGAACGCTTGCCGTTTGTTTAGGCCCTCATCAATTGTTAGCTTAGAACTAATGTGTATGTATAGTTTGGGCTCTCTTATCGGGATGGGAAACCATCCCAACACCTGACGGGATCATTTAAAATGTTACATTCTTTAATCTGTTGTGTATATATGTATATGTTTTTAAAACCGCTGCACGTTGAATTCATTCAGACTTTAAGTTCGTTTCATTTGTAAGGTTCTCTACTATATGGTATATGGTATTCTGTTTTATCGTTTTGTGTATAAAGTTCTCATTTCAAATCGAGGGTCAACATTAAAAACTATTCAACTAGAGAAAATTGCAAACATTTTCCAGTTCCACTTTATAACAATATGCCATTTTTTTTAATAACATGCACACATACTTACAAATACTACATACATACAAACATAAATATATGCACGCACATTCTCATAACAAAGTCCTGAGGGATACTTGGTTCAGGATGGTTGCAATGACATTCAAAAACAAATCCCTTCATTGACATTGAAATTTAAATAAATTGCCTTTATGGCATATTTGAAACCAATTGGAGTTTAGCATTAAGAATTTGTATATAGTATGGGCATGTCTGGAGTCTTTCGCTAGAGAATTTCGAAGAGAAAGCTCGTCACACGGAACATCAATTTTCGCACATCAATTATACAAGATCGATACGAGTAAAATAGGTAACGACTACGTTATGGTTGTCCATTCCGATTGTGATTACAGATCTATAGAGACATACAGACAGACAGAGAGAGAGAAAGAGTGAGAGAGATTTATAACTTATCCACATGCTCTAACAGACTGGCCATCACCAGCTCTTCTGGCTGCGTCTCGCTCGAAATCTCTGCCTGCTTTTGAGCTTTCTCTTCGTGCAAATTCTACAAGCCATCAAGTATATCGGCAGCACCAATTATGGCATCCACATCGCTGCTATTGGGCGCAACGTCGTCAATTAGCGTATCAGTGCTGAGGGCCAAGACGGCATCTGTGGTGCTGCCGACTCCAAAGGCCGCAACAGCCGGCGACGGCAGGCTGTCAATCGTATTGCCGTTGATTAGAAAGTCTCGGTACAGCTCAACGGGACTGAAGCGAAAGCACGGCGTCGTAATGGGCGTCGATGGCATTGATTTGGATATATCCAGAACATTTCGGGAGCTGTACGACTGCCCACAGTAGGCCGCATTGTTGGCGCCCCAATTGAAGGCTGGTGAGATGTTGAAATGGCCACTGGCGGCATTGCAGCTGCCGTTGGCGGTTCCGAGATTGTTGCCGCCCTGGATCTGCGATTGCTGATGCGGCAGCGGCGTGGAGGGCACGGAGCGCGACACAATGCCGCCCGCACTGCCGGCACTGCTGTAACCACTCGAAGAACCCGCCGAGGAGCTGCATGTGGTTGTCGTTTGTATGCCACTGAACTTGTTAAAGCTTGGCGAGATGAGCGCACTGACATCCACTTCATCGTAGAGCAGACTTGCCGATACATCCACATCGCCGCCACCCAGTTTTAGAGCGCCCACCGACTGCTGACTATTACTGTTCTCCGAGAAGAGCGCCTCGTTCACTGGGCCAGTGGTGACGGCCTGATTCAGCTGTCGATTGTAGCCTGCTGAGGGGGAGTGGTGGCTGCTGCGCTGCAGCTGTGATAGCGGCACTGATTGCGAACGTTGCGTTTCGTTTAGCTCCATATTGGCACCGCTTAGCGCCAGGCTCGTTTCCAAATCCATTGAGTTTTGATTAACTAGCAGCTCCACATTGTTGCTGTTGTTATTTATGTTGCTCTCGCTGAAGTTGTTGCTGCTGCACAACCAATTGACGCCCATGCACTGCTGCAGCAGCGAGGGACTTGGCGGCGCCGACGCGGAACTGCTGCTGGGGTAGCTGTAAACGTAGCTGCGTCTGCGCCTATGCGCCCCAATCATGGGATCCCCGTTTCCGTTGTTGTTGTCAAAGTCAAGCGATTGCTGCTTGGTTAACAGGCTGGAACGCTGGCGCATGGTTGTTTGGACCGGACTAGCAAAGCAGCTTTGCGTGGGCAGCTTACCAGTTGTTGTTGTAACTGCTGTTGTTGTTGCTGCAGCTGTTGCAGCCACATTGCTGCTGCTGTTGATGTTTGGGGAAATGGGCAGAAAAATGCAGTTCTTGTTGTTGCCGTTGCTGGACGCGTTGCTTAGACTAATTTTGCGCTTGTTGCTGTTGTTGTTGTTGTTGCTGGTGGCTCGCTGCAGTTGTTGTTGTTGTTGCTGCTGCTGCTGCTGCTGATGTTGTTGTTGATGTTGCTGCTGCTGTCGTTGTTGATGCTTTCGTGACATTAGTGCCAGAGACGCTGAGGCAGAACCCACAACATTTGCTGTCGCTGCTGCAGTTGGCAAGGGCATAGAGCGACGCATTTGCAGCTGCAGCAACTGTTGTTGCTGCTGCTGCTGTTGTTGTTGCTGTTGCACCGCTGTTGTTGATGTCGCGGTTGCCGTTGCTGATCTTGCAGTTGCTATCGCCAGTGCACTTGTTATTGCAATAGCTGATGCAGCTTGTGGATTTCTGTGTTGTTCTGCTTGAGCATCTAAGGAATTCAGTTGTTTTTCCTCAGCGTCTCCCATCTGAAAATATTGAAGCAGCTCGGTATCGGGGCCCTCAGAGTTCTCCTCCTCATCATCGCCGGGCATTAAGTAATCATCAAGCTCATGCTTATCCATATTGCATATGCTAATGACGCGCTCACGTGGCAATCCTAGATTCTCAGCCAGCCCAGAGTCCTCTGCAGTGGCGGCCAATGTGGCCGCATTCTCTGCTATCAAGCGTTTGGCCCGCAACAACATCATATTGCGCGATGCGACTTTCGGTGTGCTACTGCTCGTGTCCAGACTGCTTGACGGGCTGACCGAACTGGGATTATTTAATTGCGCCGGTGGGCCCATTGATAGCGCGGTATGGATGGGTGAGTTGCCAGCAGGTGGCTGCGCGGATGGCGGTGGTGTCGCTGCCGTTGTGGTAATCACTGGGGGTACAAGCAACGTGCCGCCGCTTGTGCTGCCGCTGCTGGGAGAGTTGGCCCAAAAGCCTTTGGTCTGCTGCGCCTTTAGGACTTTCTTGCAAAATATATTGGTGGTATTGTACTCTTCGGCCTCGTCCTTAATGACTATCCCAGTGGGGGATAACGGCTGTTGTCCTGCAGCCTCCGCTTGCAGTTCCAATAGCTTGGGTGTTAGGTTGCGGGCAACATTGCTGCGCGGCTCTGTGGCCAGATTCATGGGCAGAACTTGCTGCTGTTGTTGCTGTGCTGTCAAATAGCCACCGGATGAGTCTGTAATCTCCTGCTTGATCTTGAGTAACAGCTCCGTTTTGTGTTCATCGCTGACTGCTTCCTGACTGCTACCCGCATCTTGTGCGGCATTCGGTTGATTGCAGCTCGATTCGGAGGATGTGGACCCTTTGCGTTTCTTTTTGCGACGCTTCTTCAGCGGTCCCATGTCCTGTCAAGGATTTAAACAAGTTAATTACAATAAAATTATTATTATTTAAATAAACTTACTGCAAGAAGGCGCTTCTCTTTGGGCTCCCTGGGCGTATATTTTTTGGGCCCCAGTCCTGCATTAATTGTTGCATTGTTACTTTTGATACGTGTGGCCAGCTCTGTGACGCTCTCCAGTTTGGTGTTAAGCAGCTTTTCCGCCCAGGTGCGCACCACATCCCAACTACAGTCATTATCGGCTGCTGCACCTTGTACGCTCGCTGCGGCACTAGGTGATCGATTGAACGCTGTCACATTGGCTTCCGCGGCGACAGTGTCGTCGATTGGCTCATCCTTGCATAGTTGCGGCAACTGTGGCGGCGTCAGTTTGGTGGTTTTCCGCATGGCCGCATAGCAGTAGCGGGAGTTGCCACGCGTGCCTAGACGCCGCGGTCGAACGCCGGGGAACACCTGCTTCATGACCTTACCAAAGTCAGCCGTTGACAGTGGCTTGATGCTCAGGCGTTCACAATAGGCTCTGAAAAGTGAGAAATATGTCCATCAAAGTTTCTTCTGTGAACTTTACAGTAGATGATAAGCCGCAGAATTGGATCAGAAGCTTTCAAATCTCAAATGACTCATGTATCGTTTTCTTTACACATACAAAAAAATGTAAATAAATAAATTCGATATTTCTTATGGGTTTGTGTTTGTTATGCTTGAATGGCTTACGTATATGATACATCCATTATCGTATTCAAATGCACATTTCGATCTTCAACTCACATGTAATCATTGTAAACGTCCTGTTTTGGTATGGAAACCTGAGCATCGTGCTCAAGATGTGAACGCACCCAATTGATGGTGTGATTAATCTCGGAACGTGTGCCAAGCGGATTCTGTGGCTGTCTCAATGGGTCAGTGTCCGCACTCTCGCCGGGCAAGCGCAAATACAAAAACAGTTTCTCAATGGGCTTTAGGCCAGCGACACTTTCAAGAATTTGCGCGATCTGCAGCTTAGCAGCGTCACTAAATAGAATATAATTAATATTTGGGAAGCAGTGTGCATTGTCTAGTGGTTACTTACTCCAAACTAGCTTCGATGACCTGCTGTACGCGACGCATGCGCTCCTCATCGCTAGTTAGTGCATTCATCACATTCTCCGTAATGGTGGAGTTGATGGCACCACTGGGTGCAGCCGGCGGGACAGCTGATGAGCCGCCTTCACTGGGATGTGGGTGGGGAGGATGTGGATGTGGAGGTTGTGGATGCCTTGGTATAGCTGCTGCTGCAAGCGTTGCTGTTGACGAAGAGGCGTTCACATTCATTGCATGCATTATCTTTCCCAGTTCCAATTGTTGAGCGCTGTTAAAGGCATTGACAAACGCAAGCCCAGCATTGCCAGCGGCTGCTGCAAAGGGATTCGGCGTGAGCACAGATGTCGCACCACTGGCTGCAGAGCCAGAAGAATTTACATTTGCAAACGCTGTCGGCACAAAGCCGCCGCTGGGAACAGGTACATTTGTGGGTGTGGGGGACACCTGGGACTGAGCGAGAGCCAGTGGAGGCGCAACAATTGGCGCAATGGTCAGTGGTGACGATTTGATCGTTTGCATGTGAATGGGCGGAGCTTGGAACCGTCCTGACGTGTAGGTGGGAATGTCCGGAATCGGAACAGGCACGCCACATATACCATAGGCATTTGTGGTACCTGTCGCGGTTGCTTCGTATATGGAATTGGAATTTGGATTAGATTGCTGATGCTTCTGCAGCGATGTCGATGCTGTTGTACCACCCACTGCCGCTGCCGCTGCTGCTGATTTCGCCGACCACTGCGCACCACTAAGCTGGCCATGCTTCTCGGACATGTTAGGTGGAGGGCTGGCCTTCAACACGCGAACCACCGCAAGCCACCAGCCAGCAGCAACCTCAATGTGTTGCTCCTGAGGACACTTTGCCTTTTTCCCGTCACTTCTTGTTAGATTGCCTCTTGTTTTTGTTTTCCGATAATTATAGATTCACTAAATGTATGCTGACGCGTGCTTTAGGAGATGAAGATTGCGAAGTCGATAACTGGCGCGACGAACATTTTGGAGACGACGGAAGACACGGATGTTAACGCAAGATAATAAACCATTTTGGTTGTGACAATTGCATGGGTAACGCAAGTGCAAGGCTAACGTACGCCTTCTACGCCAGATGAAAATTTATATTGTGATTGTTGCAATTTCAATATGTAGGCTGTTTTCTAATAAGATTACAAAATATATTGGAATAATCCATTTTTCGCGGAGATAAGAGCTCCTTTCCTTCTGCGTCTCGAAAAATACACACAGTATGTGACCAGATTTGGCAACAGTTGAATGCACCAATAAATACCACATTATTTCAATTGTAAACACGGTGCTGCATTTCGATAACTATTCCTTTAAATCTACGTAAATTGTTTCAAAATACAGTTTTAGAATTATTTAAAGCAAGTATAACGCTGTAATTAATCGTGAATTTAATTAAGTTATTAAAAAAATATATAATTCTGTTTAGATAAATATATGCAAACTTTATTAGCCGGTATTTTTTTGGTATCTTAATTTTAGTATTTTTAAGTAATTCTATGCTGCGTACTTCCATCCAAAAAATAATAGCGATAAATACGAGCTATATTTTAATGAGAAAAATTGATTAACATTTATTTGATCAGCATTAGGTTCTTACTGAGATGATGTAGCGCAAGTGTTTTCCATTCTCATTAATTGTTATCAGTTTTGGATACTTCCAGTGTTATCGATAACGATTGTGTCATTGTAATCGCTACTCAGAAAAAATGGCGATTTCCTAAGAAGACAGACGCTTTACCTTTACACAACACAGACAAAATTTTAACACTAAAATACTGTTCTACCGCAATTAAACAAAATATGCGCGCTGAACTTGGACCAAACACTTGCCGCGTGTGCTTAGAGCCTAGTCAGCGCTTGCAACGGATTGATGAATCTCGCGAGGAGGGTGAGGAGACTCCTAATGAAATGCTTATACAGCTGCTGGGCATTTCATTCAGTAAGGTTAGTATAAATCATTTTGAAATGACATGCACACAGCAAATGTTTATCAACATTCCCGCCCTTCAGCTAAATGGCAAAGAGCAGATTCCTGATGGAATTTGCAAGCCTTGCAAGGTGGAGCTCAACATGGCTTTCCAGTTTCGCGAGAAGGCACTGCGCAAGCAAGCCGAAATCGAAGAATATTGTCGTGAGCTGGGCCTCTTGGACGAAGCCGAAGATTACATTGTCAAGGAAGAGTTTGGGGCGCAACATCACCCACAAGTTGAAGATGACGAAATGAATGATTTTGTGATGAACGATAACCAAAGTCCGGGCGAGGCTGATGTTGATGATAATGTTCAGAGCGATGAATTCCTAGAAGTCGATGGCTCCCATGAGCAGCAGGAAGTCATAACGGATGACATTGAGTATTTGGAGGACAACTACACCATAGAAATGAATCCCGAGCACGACGAAGTGGTACTTGAAACTAAATATGATGATACGGTAACACATAGTGACATTAAAATGAGGCGTGGTCGCACACGCCTTGGCATGAATATAGTAAAGTCCGAGCATGAAGAATTACAGCATTCTTATGGCATGTCAGCTGGAGTCGTTGACATAAAACCAAGACGTGGAAGGGCACGGCCAGGCCTCAATTCGCTGCGCACTTCGGATGGCACGGAAAAGGGTGGTTACGTCTGCGATGTATGTGGAAATTTCTATGAGAAGCGCGGTCGCATGATGGAGCATCGTCGACGTCACGATGCTGTTTGCCAATACCAGTGCGAGTAAGTCATGGATTGTAAGCAGCAAATCATAATCTTATCATTTTCTTTTAATTACTTAATGCAGACTGTGCGATGCCAAGTTCCAGGTCCGCGAACAGCTGCGAAAACACATGTATTCCCACACAGGTAGCAAACCATTCAAGTGCAGTTTCTGCAGTCGTCAGTTCTTCTACGAGAGCGTGCTAAAATCTCACGAAAAGTAAGTGGCTGCTGTTAAAATCTTTAAAGTTGCTAGCCTAACTAACTGTCTTCTATTCATCCTAAAGCGTGCATCGCGGCATCAAGCCATATGTATGTAAGGTATGCGATAAGGCTTTTGCCTACGCACATTCTCTGACTAAGCACGAGCTCATACACTCGGACATCAAGCTGTACCGCTGCGATTACTGCCAAAAGGATTTCCGCCTGCTTCATCACATGCGCCAGCACGAGGAGACCAAATGTCATCAGAATGCAGTTATGCTAGCCGAAACATTGAAGTATGATCGTGAGGAGCAGGACGTCGAACTGCTGGCTGTGGACGAGCTAAAGGATGTAAAGCTGCGACTATCGCAGCAACATTTGCTGTCTTAGATACATTTGCATTATAAACATTGGACACCACAGCGTATTGAAGGTCTGTGTTTTATTTTTAAGTAGGTTCTAAATTTAATCCCATATTAAAATGATTTAACAACACATGAGTGCTATAAATTTTGATTAGTTGGCAGGTATAAAAAGAAGTCTTGTATACGGGGAAATCTTGAGCAATGTTGGTTAAAAATAATTAGTTGTTGATTCATTTATCTCTGCACACCAGTTGAACAAAAGATTATAAAAGAACAGCTAACCCTTATCAGAATGATTTTGCCGTATCTTTGGCAATGTTGTCAGTAAATGACCATGTTTCCACTTCTGTCGTGAGGTCAGACATTATGAATTTTTTAATTTTACATATTATAACTCTATCGATAGTCAAGGCATTACTTATTTATTTTGGGCAAGACTTTCTCAAATTAATGTTTTATTGTGAATTATTATATATTTAAAGGAATAACTAACCAACAATATTTTAGTCTGCTATATCCGTAAACTTGAATTTCAGAGGTATGTTAGGCACATTTATGAGCACGCTCTTAAATGCATTTTCCGTGGGATAATTGAACTCAACATTGTAGTTTCGAATGAGTCGCGCGAGGCCCAGCTCCAATTCCATTTCGACAATTCGTTTGCCAATGCACATGCGGGGACCAAATCCAAACGGCAAGTAAATAAATGGACTGCTCGCCTTAAGAGCGTGTGGGCACTTTCCATCTGATGTTTCTTCTTTACTCTGGCGTAGCCAACGCTCGGGCAAGAATTCTTTGCCTCTTGGATAATGTTGATCATCGGTGAGCAGTCCAGAGGACAGCATCAAAACCTGTGTTTTGCTAGGAACCTGGTATCCATTTAGCACAAGGTCTGAATAGATGACACGAGCGTTACCCAATGTCAAGGGATAAAGACGCAGTGATTCCTTGATGCAAGCCCGTAAGTAAGGCACATTCTTCATAGAGGCCTCTGTGAACTCGGAGTCTTTGTTTGGTAAAATCCGGCGGATTTCCTCACGCAGTTTTGCTTGCTTTTCCGGATTTTTGGCCAGACAGAGTAGTGCACCAGTAAAAACGGTAGTTGTCTACGAAGGAGATATATATTTTATTGGAATATATTTAGCTACTCATTAATGATCCACGCAACTTACCGTATCCACACCGGCCATTAGCATGTCTATAGCCATGACAATGGCGATCTGTTTATTGGTTTTTAAGAGTTTCTCTAGTACACTCTGCTCGTGCTCTGGCTTGTTGGATGGCTCGCGTTCTAAACGCTCCACAGCCTCGTTAACAAAGCCAACTGTTATTTCCTGGATATCGTCAAGGGCTTTAATGAGCTTCTTGAATTTGGGCGTCGCTACGTAACGCCAAATCGAGGGCTTCATTTCAAGATCACCCGACAACTCAAAGAAAAGATTGAGAACCTCAAACAGTTTTATGGCCTGTGGATTATCGCGATTCGCATTCATCAGCCCTAATTGTTTATCCAAAGCTACCACCGAGACGGATTCTAGGGTCCAGCGATTGATTTCCTCCTCAAAAGTGTCGGGAACCTCAAAGGTGCTGATATCGCGTATATCTCGTATGCTAATTGAGGTCAAACAAGTACACAGAAATCATTGTAAATAAAATAACAAACTAGCAGGTCAAGCTTACCGCTGAATGAACTCCTTGTTAACGTCTGACATTTTTTGATAAAACAGACGCACAGTTTTCGGTTGCATCATTACTGGATTAACACTAAAGCGGAATTTTGCCCAGTCCTCCCCTTGTCTGTAAGACCCAATAATTTTTGTTTATATCAAAGTTTTCTTATCTTTCATATTGATAAGCATTCCATACGTTGATAATATTCCTGCAACGCCTTTGTAAAATTCCTTGCGAGCCTCAGTTCGATGATAGTGCAATACATTATTTCCAGGACGCTCCGGCCAGGGTCCTTCAGCGCGTAAAACTTGCTCGAAATGATGCGGATCGTTGGAAACAAGAAACTCATTTCTGCCCACGACTGGGAGTCTGAAAAGGGGACCATGTTGGCGACGCATGTCCAACAAAATATCCGAAAATTGCATCTTGTTGTACTTGCCTCCGGGCCTTAAATTGTACATAAAGTGGAGCAGGGACACCTTCGGTATCTCACTGTATGAGCGCGCCTGATCCCAGCCCGCAGGTCTTGCAATGGATGGTTCGTTTTCCGATACATTTATGGCGCTGCTCGCTGCACTTGTTTGCAGGCGCTGAACAATAATAATATTGTTAATAATGATTAGATAAATAAAATTATAATTATAATCATATAATATGTATAGAACTTCCACAAACCTTTTGTATCGGTATACTCCGTATTAACTGCTGAACCTTTACTCTGTGTCCTAACATTTCGCTGTGACGGTTAATTGAGAACTGAGCAACAAGTTTGTTCGTTTTGGAATTTATAATTTTTGCTAGAAAGCTTTTTTTTATAGTTAAGAGTTTTGTTATTGAGAGAGCGCAAACTGTCAAATTAATACGAGATAGCAAAATTTTCGCATTCAAGCAAAGTCAAAAAAGCTTTGACCAAAAAATATGTGCCTCTTTCGAAGATTTTCATAAATATTATCAATCGAGAGTCAAATTCAATACGTTAATAAACTAAAGTAATTCTTCTTACTAACTGCGCTAAATGCATAAAATATACATTTCTTGTCAGCTTTTTCATATGAATTATATGTCCGTCTACAAACAGTGTTAATACTATTTACAAAAGTCATAATTTGGATGTCAAAGAATCGCATAGAAGAGCTACATTTCAATATAAGGTTGTTTTTTGAATTTTTAGCGCATCTCAGCTGTGAAAAAAGTGAGGTAAGCTTTGTGTCGACTGACAAGTTGGGCCGACTTGGAGGTATTGCGTCTCGGACAAAATATAGACTATCTTGACGGTCTTGCGCCGAATGACTGGAGCTAACTGGTACGTCAGAAATTGACCCCAAGACAGCCAATTCTGAGCTTTTGCCAACTGGCAAAGCGAACGTTTGCAGCGGTTTGCGAGAGACCTCTCGGGGATTTGTGTCGTTAGGTAAGCGATCTTCTTTACCTTCATTGACATCGACATACTCCGGAGTTCCCCGGCAACCTTCGTTACGATTCAGCCCTATCCAAATAAGCCGCATTTGGGCCAATCGTCCGTAATAAATCCTGGAGGAGCCAACTAGACTTGGCGAAACATTATCTAAGCTATCTGTGTTGTTAAAGAGGTAATACATATAAACATGTTTAGTATCGTTGAGCTTCTAAAATAAGTATGAATTTCCCACCTAGGGAGTGAATTTGTTGTAGGAGAAATTTCCGTCTTACTGTGCACATCACATTAGGTAAGCCCTTGTATGCATTACAAGTTATACTTAAATTTGAAAATTTTAACAAATTTTGATCAATTAGTAAGCAAATAAGTTTATGTGAGAAAAACACTGTTAAATAATCGCTACTAATTTAAATTCACAGTAACAACAAATTATTTTTAATTTTTTTAATTAGTTAGAGCCCACAATAAAACTATCGTTTGAAGCAAATACAAAAAAAATTTAAAATATATATCTTAGAGACTTTCGCAGTTTATTTATTTGCATATTGATAGGTATAAGATATTTAAAACAGACACCGATGTTTCCTTTACAAGCCTTTTGATAGTTTTCAGCGGTTATTACGTATAATAAGTAATAAGTAATGTAGGTAAGCATAAACAGTTTAAGAATATGATTCTATGGGAGCCTTAAGCCCAACATAGCTATGTACATATATCTAAGCTACAACTCAAAGGACTAAAAGCCATGGAGCACTGTGGGGCGTTCCAGGTCCAGCCAGCGTTGTAGGGCGAGCTCACGTTCCTTGGTTGAGCCCACAAGCGCTACATCAGCTTGGGAAATTGCGAGTTATCCAATAGACGGGAAATGCATGAGCAATATTGATTTTAAAGGATTATTCGTTGATTAATTTATCTGTTCACACCAGTTCAACAAACGATTCTAAAAGAGCAGCTAGCCCTTACCAATTATATATTGCCGTATCTTTGGCAGGTTTGTTTGTAAATCACCATGTTTTCACTGTTGACGTGAGGTCGAACATTTTGATATTTATACTCTTGCAGAGGGTATTATAATTTTGTCGTGAAATGTGAAACGCATCGAAGGAGACACATAAATAGGAGACGTATAAATTCTTGATCAGTATCAACAGTCGAGTCGATATAGCCATGTCCTGTCTGTTTCTATGCGAACTAGTCTCTTAGTTTTAAAGCTATCTTTATGAAACTTTGCAGAAGTGTTTCTTTCTGTTGCAGGCAGTACATCTTTCGGTACCAGCTGGATCTGACCACTATATCATATAGCTGCCATAGGAACGATCGGTCGAAAAGTAGGTTCTGGTATGAAAAACTTTTTTGTTTATTAATATATCTTGACCAATTTCGGCATTTATTAGTTTTACTATACTCCTCATATATTTGCAAAATCCCATCAATATCGGGCCACTATATCATATAGCTGCCATAGGAACGATCGGTCGAAAATTAAGTTCTTGTATGGAAAACTTTTTTGTTTTTCAAGATCTCTTGACCAAACTCGCCATTTATTAGTTTCACTATGTTCCCTACATTTATCCAAAATCTTATTTACATCGGACCACTATATCATATAGCTACCATAGGAACTATCGGTCGAAAAGTAGGTTCTGCATGGAAAACTTTTTTGTGTTTCAAGATATCTTAACCATACTCGACATTAACTATTTTCCCCTCTGCTTCTTAGACACGGGCAAACCACTATGAGCGTTATGAAAAGGTTGGGTCTGCAAGGGTATTAAATCTTCGGCGTGCAAAAGATAGCCCTTCTTTCTCGTTTTAATTAATTTTGGGCAATACGTTCTCAAATTAATGTGAAATTATGAATAACTATCTATTTTAAGGAATAACTAACCATTAATATTTTAGTCTGCTATATCCGTAAACTTGAATTTCAGAGGTATGTTGGGCACATTTATAAGCACGCTCTTAAATGCATTTTCCGTGGGATAATTGAATTCAACATTGTAGTTTCGAATGAGTCGCGCGAGGCCCAGCTCCAATTCCATTTCGACAATTCGTTTGCCAATGCACATGCGGGGACCAAATCCAAACGGCAAGTAAATAAATGGACTGCTCGCCTTAAGAGCGTGTGGGCACTTTCCATCTGACGTTTCTTCTTTACTCTGGCGTAGCCAACGCTCGGGCAAGAATTCTTTACCTCGTGGATAATGCTGATCATCGGTAAGAAGACCGGAGAACAACATTAAAACCTGTGTTTTGCTAGGAACCTGGTATCCATTTAACACAAGGTCTGAATAGGTGACACGAGCGTTACCCAATATCAAGGGATAAAGACGCAGTGATTCTTTGATGCAGGCCCGTAAGTAAGGTACATTCTTCACAGAGGCTTCCTTGAACTCGGAGTCTTTGTTTGGTAAGATCCGGCGGATTTCCTCACGCAGTTTTGCTTGCTTTTCCGGATTTTTGGCCAGACAGAGGAGTGCACCAGTAAAAGCGGTAGTTGTCTACGAAGGAGATATATATTTTATCAGGATTTATTAAGCTACTCACTAATGATCCACGCAACTTACCGTGTCCACACCGGCCATAAGCATGTCTATAGCCATGACAATGGCGATCTGTTTATTGGTTTTTAAGAGTTTCTCTAGTACACTCTGCTCGTGCTCTGGCTTGTTGGATGGCTCGCGTTCTAAACGCTCCACAGCCTCGTTAACAAAGCCAACTGTTATTTCCTGGATATCGTCAAGGGCTTTAATGAGCTTCTTGAATTTGGGCGTCGCTACGTATCGCCAAATCGAGGGCTTCATTTCAAGATCACCCGACAACTCAAAGAAAAGATTGAGAACCTCAAACAGTTTCTTGGCCTGTGGATTATCGCGATTCGCATTCATTAACCCTAATTGTTTATCCAAAGCTACCACCGAGACGGATTCTAGGGTCCAGCGATTGATTTCCTCCTCAAAAGTGTCGGGAACCTCAAAAGTGCTGCTATCGCGTATATCTCGTATGCTAATTGAGGTCAAACAAGTACACAGAAATCATTGTAAATAAAATAACAAACTAGCAGGTCAAGCTTACCGCTGAATGAACTCCTTGTTAACGTCTGACATTTTTTGATAGTACAGACGCACAGTTTTCGGTTGCATCATTACTGGATTAACACTAGAGCGGAACTTTGCCCAGTCCTCCCCTTGCCTGTAAAATCCATACATTTTTGTTATATCAAAGTTTTCTTTTCATTTATGGTAATAAGAATTCCTTACGTTGATAAAATTCCTGTAACGCCTTTGTAAAATTCCTTGCGAGCCTCAGTTCGATGATAGTGCAATATTTCATTTCCAGGACGCTCCGGCCAGGGTCCTTCAGCGCGTAGAACTTGCTCGAAATGATGCGGATCGTTGGAAACAAGAAACTCTTTTCTACCAAAGACTGGGAGTCTGAAAAGGGGACCATGTTGGCGACGCAAGTCCAATATAATATTCGGAGATTGCATCTTGTTGTACTTGCCTCCGGGCCTTAAATTGTACATAAAGTGGAGCAGGGACACCTTCGGTATCTCACTGTATGGGCGCGCCTGATCCCACCCCGCATGTCTTGCTATGGATGATTCATTTTTCGATGCATTTATAGCGCTGCTCGCTGCACTTGTCTGCAGGCGCTGAACAATAATAATATTGTTAACAATGATTAGATAAATACATTTATAATTATGTGTATTCATATACAATCGTAATTGCTAATTACTTCCACATACTTTTTGTGTTGGTATAGCCCGTATTAACTCCTGAGCCTTTACTCTGTGTCCTAACATTTTGCTGTCACGGTTAAATGAGAACTGAGCAAAAAACTTGTGCGTTTCGCAATTTATAGTTTTGATAGTAAGCTCTTTTATTATCTAAGATTTTTATTATTGAAAGCGCTCAAAATGCTCAAAGCAAAGACAAAAAGGCTTTGAGCAAAAATTATGTGCATCGGTCGCAGCTTTTCATTAATATTATCACTCGAGAGTCCAATTCAATACATTTATAAACTGAATGCAGTGAGTTATAGGTTTTTATTATGAGTCGTTTGTCCGTCTGTTTGTATGAATATAATTTACAACTGGCGTCAAGTCGTAAGGTAAATCGCAAGCAAACATTGATAAATCTATATTTACAAAAGTCAAACTTTGAAAGTCAAAGAATCGCATAAAAGAGAAATATAATATAATATGATATAACGTATAAACATACGTCAGAAATTCAACTGTGCACAATGAGCTCACAATGGTGACAAAAGTCAGCGAAGTTGGAGCTTTCGCCAACTGGTAAAGAGAACGATTGCAAGTACATTGCAACCGGTCGGAGAGAGACCTCTCGGGGAGATGTGTCGCCCGGAGGCTCAAATGCATAGATATAAACATGTTTAGTAATGCTGAGCTTTTGAAATAAGATGATAATTCTCACCTAGGGAGTGAATTTTATATGTCTCTAATGACACAATAGACAAACATGTTTAACCGCTTTTCACACATTTTTATTATTTGTGGGAGGAATTCCCGTTTTACTGTGCACTTATATCACATAAGGTGAGTCCTTTAAGACAAATACAAAAGATTTAAAATATATATTTAAGAGACTTTCGCAGTTTATTTATTTGCATATTGATAGGTATAATATATTGTACGTATGGATATTTCAAACAAACACCAATGTTATCCTTTACAAGCCGAATTGGACTTTTGATAGTTTTCAGCGGTTATTACGTATAATAAGTAAGTAATGTAGGTAAGTATAAATAGTTGCGTAGAATAATAACTTAAAATTACGAGTAAACTACAATTAATTAAAGTTTCACTGAAGACAGGGTTTTTACAAGACAATTTCCGCGCGATGTTCGTTTGGCACGCAAGGCAAAGAAGTGTATAAAGTATATATGTTATGGGTATCGTATCGTTTATATCGTTTTAAGGGCAAATCATAATTATAATTCGGTAAATAACATGTTTCGATAATGCATAAAATGCTACGTATAGAATATGATTCTCTGGGAGCCTTAAGCCCAACATAGGTATGTAAATAAATCTAAACTACAACTCAAAGGACTAAAAGCCTATTATAATCTTGTATAATAAATACATATTGAGATTATGCTAACTTGGGGCTAATCATGGGAGGCGTGCTGCTGATAGCTGCATACAATTTTGGCCGCATCGTTCATCATTTTGGCGGTGGAGCGCACAAGGAACATCAGATGACACTCGTCGTAGACGGTCAGCTCGACGCGCGTGCGCACTAAGCCATGGAGCACTGTGGCGCGTTCCAGGTCCAGCCAGCGTTGTAGGGCGAGCTCACGTTCCTTGGTTGAGCCCACAAGCGCCACATCAGAGGGACCCCAGAGCACAAACTCCAGCACTGATTTGGCCTTGGATAGCGATTCGGCGCGCTCCTGTTGCAAAATATCGGCCAGAATGGGTGTGATTTTTGTTGTGGGCAGCATGTCGGTCAAGGCGCCGTGGGCGCATTTGCAGAGCGTGCCCATGGGTTCCTCGTCGTCGTTGTTGTTGCTGTAAATGATCAGGATTAGTGGATGATAGAAGAGTTGATAAAATAGCTTCGTTTTGTACCCTTGCAAGACACAGAGTCGTGCCTGCGCATCCTTGTTGTCCATATCCTTTGACAGCACTACATTCGATAGACTTAGCGGCGTCTCTTCAATGGCCTTGGCCTGCAAATTTTTCATGCCGTTGACCAGCTGCAGCATGATGAATGCCACCTCGCGCGTCATGACATCATCGAAGGCGGGCATGGCACTTGGCATGGGCGTACTCTCCTCACTATCGTTGGGCCCCGTGATGCCAGGCGATGTTGATTCCTCATTCAATGTGCTAAGGTTCTGTACGGAAACCACATTGCGCAGCGCATTGGCACCAGCCGCATCCTTCAGGCTGTTCAGGTTTGGTATGGAGCCGCGGAAATTAAAGTTGCTCTTGTCCAGCACCTGGGACTTGCCCTTAAGTATGGCTCCAATCGATGGCAACGTCTCCAGCTGAAGTCGGGGCAGCACCGATATTGTGGCCTGTAGCAGCGTCACCTCCGTGGTGGGCATCAGAGGCAACTGATAGCTGGGTACCAAATCGCAAAACTCGGTTATGGGATTAAGCACATCGCAGACACCGCCCGTCAGTTGGCTCAGCTCGCCGCCTACGCCGGCCAGCTGGTTGCAGTCGGCCGATAGGGCCAAGGTCACAGGCGAAGTGGTCCACAGGGCCGCATGGAAGGCCTTCTTGCCCACCACAAACGCCTGAACGCCCTCCAAGATGGTAAAGTCCTCGTAACGCAAATTGATAGCATTGGCTAGCGGTCGCAGGGCCGCGGGCACAACTGGCGTTTGCTGCAGCTGTGGAAGGTTTAGGGTTGACGTCTAGTGTGATGTCTGAGGTAGCTGCAAAGTATAGACTCACCTGATCGAGCACCTGGGCGAGTGCCTCATGATTGGCCACCACAACGGCTGTGTAGTTGTCCTCGATGGTCTTGTGCACGACACTGCGTCCTTTGCGCATGCGCAAACGATTCGTGGCCTTGCTGCGGTTCTTGTTGCCCTGAAAGGATTCGCACATTCGAGGAGTTAAGGAAGGAAGTTCGCCCAAAATATTGGGTTTGTTCAAATTCACCATTTGCATGCCCCAGACGCTGTCGTTGATGTCCGCGGCCACATCTCCACCAGCCTCGCTGCCGTAGTAGCTGTACGGTGCATATATGTCGAACTCGCCCGCCTCGCTGCCCGCATACGAGGCCGAGATGACGCGTGGAATGTTGGCTGCAAATCGAATCACATCAGTTAAGCTCATGCTACAGTCTCTTATATTATTTTCGAACCCACCTAAGCTATTGTTCAGGCCATAATGCCGCACTGGACCGTACTCGCTGCGCGAGTAACTGGCTATGGAAGCCGTATCCGAGTAGATATTGTTGCGTCTGCCAGTCTGGCTGTTGAGTCGTTGTCCGGCCACCGCCGTCAAGTCGAGGTTGCTGTTGCGTATTGGTGGCATTGGTGGCGTTGCTGTTGCCGCCGTTGCCGTTGTCGATGTCGTTGTCGAGCTACTGTTGCCATTGCCCATTTTGACAAACTCGTACATGTTCTCATAGTCGCGCTTGTCCTTCAGATAGCTATCGATGGTGCTGTTAATCTTGCGAACCGAATCCTTCAGGCTGCTGCGCTGGCCGCTGTCAGTGGCATCATGTGCGCCCTGGGCGCGCTGCTCAAAGATCTCCAGCTTGCTGGATATGGACATTTTGGTCTCGGCCTTTTTCGGCTGTCGCTCGAAGGTGCTGGTGCGGCTACTGACAGTGCCCACTGTTCCCGTCGGCGGTTTGCCCGATTCGAATGGATTGGTGCTGCACGCCTTGGACTGATCGGCCGTTACATTCTCACCGTTTGACGAGCAAATGGAGATAGTATCGGTAAGTATGCCCCGTTTGCGGACCAGCTCCAGCTGCGCCTCACGCTCCCGCATGCTAGCCGTGCGCTCCGGCTTGCGTGGGGCTATCGAAGAGCGTATTTCGCCTGTATAGCAAGAGAGAGGAATAGATTAGGTGTCTCCCTATGCGAGTCTATAGATATAATCTGTACACGATATTATTTGGCCAAGTTTCATGGCCAAACAATGCCAAATGCCAGCCACAGCTGGCAATGTTTTTGTTTTATCTGTGCAACCTGCGACACTAATTGTGATTTTGACCCAAATTCATGGCAAATTACAATTCGCATAATGGTGCCTTGTGGCCAAGATGTCTAACAAATAGCTCTTCCACAGCCAAACACTGAGCTGATGAGCTTCGCGACGGCCCCTTCACCAGCTGCCACCAGTTGCCACCAATTGCCACCGACAGACGACAGCTGGCAGCCGGCAGCAGCAGCAGGTGTAACAAGTTCTCGCCACATTTGGCCTGACCACAAAATGTCAGCAAAGAAATGGGTCTCAGATTCTAACTCTTTCCCTGCCAGCAATTCTCGTTTCGCCAGTTTTCCAAGTGGCATTTGGAGCTGGCTGAGCATTCGCATGTGGTTACCTCATTGGCTTTGGGCTCTGGTTTGTTTTTATTTCGATATTTTTTGTTGTTGCTGTTGTTCTTCATCTGTAAAACCACATTTTTTACTACATAGCTCTGGCTCGCTCACTTAACCCACTTTAATCTGGCTACCTGTCTGCCCGTTATATTGATTGAAATGCGTAACTCGTTTTGCTTTGGTTCTACTTTCAGCACCACTTCAATTTATGATCAGCTTTTGTGGCTGCCACTTGGCCAAGTGGCACATTGGGTGAAGAGACCCTTTAGATCCACATTCTGAAGGTCGCACGACTTTATGCCATGGTATTTGGGCGCTGGTAGCGAACGTGATCTGTTTGCGCTTTCTTTTGGAATTGGATCACCACCGCAATCACGATCGGAGAGAGACACAGAGAGAGAGAGAGAGATAAAGAGAGATAGATAGATAGATACGCCCACGCTAGTCACTCGACTGACGGATTGATTATTTATGGAATTCGGGCGTCCCAGTTACCCACTTAGCTCATCTAATTGCACACTCACCCAAATTGGCGTACACATTGTCCGCTTTGGATTTGATGGAGCCGCCGGCATTGGGATTGCCGGAAATCTTTGCGGAATCTACACTGCTGGCGCTAAGCGTGGCTGTCAGCTCCGTTTTCTGCTTGCGACGCAGCTCAGCGCTTTTGGGCGGCGGTGGGCGTGCCGGCTTATTGGCCTCATGACCGCGCTGTCCCTCGCTGGCGCGCAGCGGTGGAGCCGGCGGCTTGGCGGTGACCACAGCCACCGTCTGCGCCGAGACAGCGTCGTTTGTCTTCGTAATATCCTTGACCACCTCAACGGCCGTGGGATTAATGTCAATGGGATGTATAA